AGCCACGCAGTGCGTCATTAAGACGTAACCACCGCCGTTTCGCTAACCCGCAGGTCAACGAAATCCTGTCGAGAACGAGGTTAGGCTTAACCAGTCGTAATCGTTACACCTGTGTTTGAAGGCAATCACGGACTTGTACTTGTGGTTTGAAGTGCCCAGTTCTTGTCCAGGTGGCAACGCGACCTGGCCGTCGCTCACCTGAAAAGGATGAGCGCCTTCAGAGGCGAGGCCGACGTCAAAAAGCGGGCGAGTGCGGATCAGACGGCTTATGACACCGGAGTCAACACCTTGAATATCACGTCACGGCTGATGCCAACCTACAAAGACTTTGAGCTCCTTGGTGTTGCCAAGCCCGCGAGACGTGAGTGACGCCTCCGGCATGCCGCCCGGGAGGACTTTTTGCACTCTTGCGTCCGTTCGATTCCCTGCCTGCTTGATTTTGATCTCGCCCGTGACATTCTACCCTTACGGATTAACCCATTTTTTGTTTCCGTTCTCGTCCATAGTCAACAAGCGGTGGCGATCCTTCCGGGCGTGGATGAGTTTCCGACCTCCGTGGACGCCAGCAGTCGTCCCAACACTGCTGGATCGGAACAATACGCCAATCACTGAGCCTCTGAGCACCTTCTTCAAGGAGTTGCCGGAGCAGATTGGGTTCTTCATGCTCCGTGACGTGAGGCAGTGGGATGTTAGGAGGGTCGCGGCGTTCGCGCAGGCGGTGAAAAAGTGAAAGGCGGCTTGGCCTCACGCTCTTGACCACCGAGTAAGCCGGTTCTGTCTCAAAACAGTCTGTTTTTCCTTTGCGGTTGTATTTTTCACATCTAGGTTTATTTTGAGCGCCTAGGTGTAGTGATTCGTGCGATGTCTCTGGTTTGCTGCTTCATTGTGAGTTGGTTGATTTCACGGTATTCGTTAGCTCTTCATGTCTTGGAACTTTTTTCACGGCATGGATTTACAAAGGACCAATGACGCTTCTTCTACCATCGGTCCAATCGGATGCTCTATCGAGATAGCGGTGGGATCTGCTTCCAACAACTGGACTGGCTTGGGACGGGTGCTCTGCATTTTCGAAACTTGCAAAGCTTTGTGTTTGCATCTCTTCGCAATTTCTCACTTCCCTTTTGCGGTATCCAGGTCTACGTCAGTTACTCCGTCTACACCGCCCCGATGGAAGAGAACGAGAGATCGAATACACACTCCGCTCGAGCAACTCCATCTTTCTCCAAGCGACCCGTCTTCAACGATGTCGTATTGAACGCGATCTTGCCAGGGGCGGGAAGGGCAAAGGCCGGGGGTAAGGAAGGCGGCGTCGGTGGGTCTGAATGGTTTGGTGCGGAAAGCTGCTGATGCTCTTCCGCATCAAGTTACGGAAGTACGACGCAGGGCTGGCAGAGACCGAGGGTCCAGTTGGTGCCCGATACGTTTCTCTCCCTTGTGCCTTTGTCCGCTGGTATGACCCACTGCCAAAATTGTTCGATGCGTCGGGGTGTAAGTACTACAGGTGGAAAGCGAGAAGCAATCAGCCCCGTGTCTCAGTTGTGTTTGCCACGACGCTTAGAGAAGTCGTACAGATGCTCCCTGTTCCCAGAGATCAAAATCCAGAGGATCTTTCGGAAACACGGCTGTACAAAAGGAACACTTGGCTCCGAAAATTGACGCTCTAGCAAGCGTCGTAATTGAGTACGTAGATGGCGCACTAAGTAGCGTGAGTTTGTACTTTGAAATATAGGGACAGAGGCACATGTACATTGTACAGAGGAACATATACACACGGTGATACCATTACATGAAGCTGCTCCGGAAACGGTTTCTCGGCAGTGGAAGGCCCCGGAGGTATTGCATGCCAGTTTCTCGGCAGCTGGCATGGACAGGACTCCACCTTATCGACACGTCTCCTCTGCAAAGAACGGCTGCCAGTAATTCTCTTTCATGGCCTAAACCTCAAGCTTGTACCTGTTGATCGCTTGCAATCTTGGTATGTAGCCGAGTTGGGCAGGCCGTAAGTTGCACGGGCGTGATGCCGATGCGCATGTCCGCCATATGCAGCTGCCACGGCTGGCATAGCTGGTCTGTGAGAGTAATTAAGAAATTGGGCGCGAGAACCAGGACCTTGAATGAAGGATCTTGACTCTTTGCCGCACAGGCACATGCTTTCCATGAAAAGCATCAAACGCCAGTGCTCAATGATTCACATGAAGAAACAGTGTTGCTAAGCATGTGAGCAGAAAGCGCTTCGATCTGAATGGAGGTATGAATTGAGCATCAATTGCATGAGGTAACTGTATCATGGAGTCGGACGTGGAGGCAAAAGCTATACTAGGAACATGGACCCGCATGAACACAAAACGCTGGCTGCAACTAGCTGGCCACGATCGTTAGGTATAGAGACCAGGACCATCCATATTAAGAATGCTATCGCGGAACTTGAAGGCTACAAATGGTTCAGATCATGCTCCTAGATTCTGAGGCTAGTGTTTCACAATTCCGAAATGCATACTGACACGCGCTTTTCACCCTCCTCGAGCAGTGATGGTGATTGTTTGCGTATCTGAAAATTTTCAATCAAAGAAGCACTTCATCGAACCCATACTTCCAAGCATAAAAAGTCTCCTTCACTAATATGCTGGCAAGGTAATGATGAACTCCATCTTCCTTCGCTGATACTTTGCCCGGAAGTAACTCTATTGCTTCCTGTTCAATGATCTGAGGCTCCATCTGTTCGAACCTCAGACTTTGGACCGCTCCGCTCACATTGAAAGAGCCGCAAAGCTGTACGACTTGGCAGCCGTGTACGAGGTGGCTGCGCTTGATGATGAAGCCTGCATTGGTCTTGAGAATGGTCAAACCTGGGACTACAAACACTACGCCAGAGCTGGAAGCTGCTTCCGAATGCAGGGTGCAACCATAAGCAACGTCTGATGTGGCTAGACTCCTCATTGACCACTTTCTTGCCGCACAATGACTGGCACCTAGCATAGAAACCCCGGTCTTCTTCACCAGCACCTCTTTGACCGTCCCGTCGGGGCCCACAACGCGTGTCAGACGGGTTTGCAACCTCCAGGGCCTGGCAGTTGCTGAGCCTTGACCAGCGCGGATGACGTCTCCAAGCAGGCCCAGAAAGTTACCACCTTCATCATCCGCTGAGTAGAGGGGAGGGAAACTACCAACCCCTCGCGGCATCCTGCCGCTGGCCAATATTCTCTTGGTGAGCTCAGTGACCTCAAAGCTAAGCATTGCGTTGCCTTCAGCGCACAGTTCCTTGTGGCCCCCATCTCCCCAATCTACTCTTTGGCATGCAACACTGCAGTAGCGGACTTTCTGGCATCCTGTACATATGCGAAGCTCCGTTTGGGGCACCTGCTTCTTGGCGCACTTGAGATTGCTGCAGCGCCCTGCCCAGGATTCATGCCATCCTAGCTCTTGCTCAGCTTGAAAGCTTATCCCAAACGGATATGGTTCTGGCCAGGGGCTAC